CTAAAATACAAACGGCCATAAAAAAATTCGAGCTAACTTTTACAAACTCAGCGAGGGTTTTGCTATTGGATAGGTATATTTTCAGAAAAGTCTAAATTGGGATATATGAAGATCTAAAATACAAACGGCCATAAAAAAATTCGAGCTAACTTTTACAAACTCAGCGAGGGTTTTGCTATTGGATAGGTATATTTTCAGAAAATAGTCCGGTGCCGTTTGATTTCGGTGACCCGAAATTTGTCGCACAGTGTAATATAAGTAATACTCTTTTCAAAATGAATTAGTCACAAATGACTAATTGTCATGGCGGAAAGGCATTCACTAATACTTCTCGTCAACAGCAATTTGTATCTTTTTATTACTATTGTCTGCGAAATCAAAAAATCTCTCTCAAAAAATGAATTAGTCAAAAATTACTAATTGTCATAGCGACAGCAATTTATCACACAAACATTTAGCAGTCAAATCCTATGTAAAATTGTTTGCTGAATCCGAAAATGTCGTCAAAACTTATAAAAGAGTTTTTTCGTAAGTAATATCATAAGGGCATCTAATTTTTCCGAAAAAAATCAATAAACACGTTGCTAAGTAATATTTTATTAAAAAGCATGAGCACATGGCAACAAAAATCCGAGTTGAAGACGAGGATTTTTGCACTTGCACGAATGCATTTTGTTAAAATTATTACTTATAAGTAATAATTTTAACAAATGCTATAGCATTGTGTTTTTTCGATTTTTTTCACAGGAAAAATTAGATGCCCGAATGGTATTTGACAAGACTATTTCATGAGTAACATTTATTCTGCATACACATAGCTTACAAAACATACTACCTATTATACATGCATACATAATAAATATGTAGGTATTAATTTGAAAACTGAAAAATAGTTAATTTATTTAATCACAAAATACTACAAACGTAATTATTTATGGTACCATGCAATTAAAATATAAATTGCAATTTTTTGTAACAACAGCTGTCAAGTTTTGCCGCGGGTAAACTCGAAAAAACTGCTGACATGTGCTGTCATACAGTTTTTCCACCTAGAAACCATTTTTAATTCAAAATTGAGCGTTTGTGACTGGTGGAAATTAAGACGAGGGAAATAGTCATGATAATAAAGTGTTTGTTCATATATATCAAGATACGTTAATGTACAAAAAAAGTATAAAAATTAAATATTTAACTAAAACAAAATGTCAATAAAAACTTGTATAGAAAACCTTTTATAACGTCATGAATCGGGTAACGGGCGCTACCATGAAAATCGGCAAATTCGACCAAGTTGGCTTCTAAAGTTGATAGGTACTGTAAAATTTTGGATGAAAGCATATAGTAATAATTTTTTGTGTAAAACTTTAATAGTAACCTCAAATATTGTATGTAAACATTATTTTCTAAAATTTTCTCAAAATGTAACGGCGACATTTGAACTTTTTATAGAGTATTGAAACTCTTTCGTGTTTATTCTTAATGTTAGCTTCTGAGCATCACAATTTACGAAAATTTTAAGGTTATAAATTACGTCGCCATTAAACTATTTGACTTCAGATATAGTTTTTATTTTGTTAAATAACACATCTGATTTTTTGTCAAGGTGGGGTAAGGTTTTGCGGAAATACCCAAAAGTATAAAAGTTTTTTACATATAGTCAATATTCCATATAATATGGAATTGACTATGTATATCTCAAACACTGCTCTACTTTCATAATTTTTGACGGTCTTTTTGGATTCAGGTGACAATTTTACATAATAATTGGCTGTAAAATGTCCGGAACAAATTGCTGTAGAAATTCATGTAGACTACAGTGTCCAGTGGCTGCTTTTTCGATAAGACAAAACACGCTTTTTAAATAATGAATAACCTTCGAAAAAAAAAAATCACGTAATTCATCTAATGAATCAGTTAAGCCATTCGGTTTGACTTTCCCCAATTTTATGTCTTTATGTTGGCTTAAAGGTTTTTCCAGGGGATAAAACAATTAAAAGGGTCAGAATATGGTTGTGGTATGCGGATTTTCAAGTAAATTAGTTACCCTTACATAAATGTTGCAATGTTTGATGAAATAAAGGACGTAATACACTTTGGTGCGTCTGTTTAAGGGAATACTTATAATAAATTTTAATATAAAAGCACAGTCTTGTTTTTGTGTTCAAAATTAAAAGTTTTTTGTTAAATTAGACCGTTTGTCATACAAAATTAAATTAAACTTTTGACATAAAACAGTACATACCTTAATAAATAAAAGTAAAACTCGTTTCAAACAATTTGAGAAAAAAAGTGAAATCCTTTCAAACACGTTAATTTAAATTTCGTTATTTGTCTGGATTCGTTTAAATAGCCCTTTATATTATTTGCTCGATAAATTAAATTACAACAAAGCGCCCGTTATGTAAACATTTTCTTAAGCAACTAAAAGAATTTAATAACCAGTTCGCAAACAAGTTCGCCTTAAGTTTCGGAAATTTATTTATAAGCCTATTATGAAAGTCATTTAAGTTTTAGGCAGGGGCTGCTTTCCCTTCTTAAGAATTAATTTTCTTAGTCAGTTAATTTAAAATTATATTAATTTCATACACTTTTGATTTATTACCATTAATTTTTATTTATAGTGTTAACAAATTAACCACTTTTTAACCCGACCCTTTTGATTTGACTAAAATTTTTATTTGTTACACTAACCCACTTAAAAAGTTTCTTTAAATTTGTTTAATATTTTAACCCAACTGAAAAAGTTCGTGTTGTTTAAATGCTCATACATGATTTTTTTTCTTAAACGTTGTTTTCAGATAAAAATACAAACAAAATATTCAAAGTCATATTATATGAATTTTTTTTTTTTTTTCGTTTTAGAAATAACTTAATTTAGTTTGTGTTTTATAGAGCAAATTCCAAAGTGGGCCAACTATAATTTGTTTTTGTTTTTTTTTAATTAAAAATTACTATATTTTCAAATTATTCTCCAAATTTAAAACCAGATTGATGAATAATGAGTTAATTATTCCCGTTGTTACCCAGGGAGTTTAAAATCGAAAAAAACCCAATTTTATGCAATAGGATATATAATATAATTATTAATATAATTATTAGAGATGAAAGTTTAGGTTGCATTATTTATAAAAATAATCTTGTTTAGGTGAGAATATTGAATATTGAAAAATTTTAAAATAACTTACGAATATATCTCATAAAAATATCATACCATTATAAATTTTATAATTTTTTAAAGCAGCGACACAAAATATTTTTTTAAATGAGCATATAATTGCTGACTTTAAAATTTAAATATTATAGGTGTTTAAATTTAAAAATTAGGTCCATTTCTATTAAAAATTAAAATGTATGTAAAATAGGTAAAATAAAATCAGGATCAAATGAAATATTTTTCTTTCAAATCCTTAAATTATGATTAGCTTAGAGAAATAGGTAATAAAACTAAAATCCCATCTCTAATAGTTATAGTTATTAGCCCAGAGAGAAAAGGCCAGTTAAATTGCATTCCCAAAAAAGCTTTAGCTATATCACACCCAAGCAGCATTTTAAGTTTAAATAATTACTACTAAGTCAACTTTAAAGTATTTTTTACGGTTAATCAAAACGGTTTTATAACGGTATATATACAAAAAATTGCCAAATTTGGGGAATGGTTTATTTCGTTATTTTACCTACATAATAACCTTTTGGATCTACTAAGAGAATAACGTAATAAAAACAATATAAATACCACAAATTAAGTAAAAATAACGTTATAATTACTAACTGTTTGCTCTTTCTTTCAAAAACATTGACATTCGTAATTTCTTTGTTCTTTTAATTTATATTTTTCAAAATGGTACTTACAAAGTAATAAAGGTTACCCTAGAGTAAAATTATAAAATATAACTTAAATTGTCAAAACTAATAATATTTTGCATTAAAACTCAAACGCACATTATTTTATTAATAAAAATAGGCAGGATACATCTTAAAAATTACATACCCTCTAAATATTTTACAGTTTTAAGAAAAATTATTGCTTGGGTAAAAATTCAACAAAACTTAAAACCTACAAAATTTTATAAAATCTTTTTAAAATTATTTAGTATTTTTGTTTATTATATTTTAGAAAAATATTTATGAAAAAATATCATATAAATGTTTAGATAAGTAATGGATGCCATATAAAAAAATTCATTATGGCGACCTGAAAAAAATTTTCCCTTAAAGTTTTATTTTTCACTTTAAGCTTATTTTTTCTTGTTTAGTCAATATTAAAAGTATTTATTACCACTAATAACCCTAAAAAATACCAGGCGAATAGGAATTATTTACGGTTATAAAGTGGTCTTAATATCGTAAAATTGATTTATGAGTAACATTCTGACGTTAAAATTACCGTTAAATTTTCCTTTAGGTGAAATACACTTATAAGTAATGTTCTTTCGTAAAAAATACATCCCTCATAATACTTTAAAGTGTTGAAACTTAGGGGTTATTAAAATAGGTAAAAATAACATAAATAATACTTATTAAATAACTTTAAAAAAAGTTTTACTTTAAAGTAAATTTTTAAGGTTAATTTAACAAAATATTTACTTAAATTAAGTAATATTGCCTCAAAGCTACACTTTTACTTAAAATGCTGCTTGGGCAGGGTAGGTATTTCATTTTTGTGAACAAATGAAATTTTAAAAGAATTTTATAAAAAACGACTACACCCTTACCTAGTCGTAATTAAACTAAAATAAATTGAATAAAGTTAAGTTAATAAAGTTAAAAATGCTGTTTCTGTAAGTTAATTAAAAAAAAATATTTTACCCAGTGGGGCCCGCGCCACTAGTTCAGCCTAGGGGTCCACAGATCAAAAATGCAGCTTTGTATATCACAAACCTCAACATTTGGATTGTATTTATTTTCAGTTACTAAAAATGGTTTTTAAAAATGTTGTTGTTTAAAATAATTGGGACTTAATAATTATTATAAAACAAAAATAAACTCATTCTATTACTTACTTGAGGATAGTCACTTTCCTTAGTCTGATACCCGAAATGGAAAAAATAAGTCTTGGCCCCGCGCCGGGCATGCAAATAGGCAACCCGCACCAAAGGCGACACTGTATGTCCGTCACTCAGCGCTTCCATCGTCGAATCCCTAATGTTAATCGGATGCTGTATGGGCTTATCCCAGTCCGTATACTCGTTCCTCACCGCGGAAAAGATCTCGTTCAAATGGTATACGTACGCGTTACGTATGTACGTCCTCAACACTCGATTACGCTGGTCCTCCTCGAAACCGTACTGAATGTCGTTCGCGTTAAAGTCGCCGTAACTTTCCGTCGTCGTGATGCCCAGCATCAGTTCCGAGGTGATGAAGTTCTCGCTGGCGTGCTCCATCGCATAGGCTGGGTCCGGGGTGTCCAGGTCGATTGGCAGTGATGGCGCTATGCGTGGCATGAAGCGCACGGTTTCTAGCTGGATGTCCAAAAGGGCTTGAAGGGGCCTGCAAAATATTTCAATATTTTTTATTAGTTTCAATTATCTTGCACCAGATAAGAAGACGCATATACAGGTATTTCTAAGATCTGGGCGGCCAAAATGCCCGTTATCAAAGTTTGAATGACATCGTTAAAACCAACAACCTGCGTTGGAGGACACTTCTGAGAACCCTATCCAACCGCTTACGTCCTTTCCCCGCACACCCCACGTACGTATGATTAGTCGGAATTTAAATGTCTAACCTAGTATAAGTATCAATTTTTGGCGTGCCTATTGGGCAAACTGTTCTTTAAGTGAATATTTGCACCACAAAAAGTGGGGATGATGGCGATCAACATGGTTGTCAATGAAAATTAAGTGCGATTATTTTATGCAATCATTGCAAAAAAAGTGTAAAAGAATGTGTATTATGTACCAAATGTGAGGGTAAATTTCACCCAAGTTGTTTTGCTCAAGCTAACTCGTTAAAAAATCCAAAGTGCCTCCATGTGGCCAGTGTTGAGGTTACCACCGAAAATAAGGTAGCTGATAGCAACCTAGCGATGAAAAACACTCTTCTTAGAAGAATTATTAAGGAACTAGAGGACAAAAATAATCTATTAGAAGAAAATATAACACTCTTAAAGGAAAAAATAACTTTTATTGAAAATACTAAAAATCCTCAAAAGATGGCGCAGGTGAAGGTTTCAGGTAGTACAAAATTACCTTCTTTACCGTCGAAATCAACTACTAAGTTGGCAACAGTGGAAAATAGTTCATATTCATCGATAGTAAATCACCTTAATAAAGAAGAAGAAGACATTTCAGAGGTTAAAAACAGTAAACAAATCACAGATACAGTAAAGAAATTTTTCAGTAAAAATATGAATCCAGGTACCTCGACAAACACTAACTCCTGGGAAACGGTGACAAAGAAAAAATATAAACCTAAAAGACTAGGGACAGATACAAGTGGGGGAACAGGTTCGTTCTCTGGGGTTGACAGACGTTTCTGGTTATACATAAATAGAGTTGATAATAATGCTACGTCTAATGAAATTACATAAAAAATAAGCCAGGATTTAAAGATTTTAAAATTGAAGTAACAGAACTTGAGAAAAAATCCGATTTCAGTAAAAGTTTTGTTGTTGTTGGCCCTTTGTCTAAAAAAGATGAGATGTATGATCCTTGTTTTTGGCCTAGTAATGTGGGTATAAAGAGATTCAATTTTGAGAAGCATAGTGATTTTTTAAGCAAGCAAACAGGTACTTTTTTAGGAAAACAGCACCTAAGCTAGAAAATTTCTTAAATATTTGTCATGTTAACATACGATCTTTAATGTCATGTTTTTCTGACTTTACCAATTATATTATAACACAAGATATACATTTAATAGGAATAACGGAAACATGGTTGCAGGCAGACATACCTAACAAATATGTGAATATTGATGGCTATAAACTTGTTCGTAAGGATAGAGGTTCCAGGGGTGGAGGAGTGTGCTGGTATATACATAACAATTTAGTTTCGAAACAAATAATCATGGATTTTGTAGATGACAGTAAATTGGAGCAATTATGTATGTATAAATAAACTTAATTATGCATTTGCAGTTGTCTACAGACCACCTAATACATTGGTTACTCTAGATGACCTGGAAAAAGCTATAAATTTAATGTATCTCGAAGCTGATTTTGTTACGATAGTTGGAGATTTTAATATCAACATGTTGCAAAATTCCCTTATGAAAACACAACTGTTAAATATGCTAGATATATACAATTTGAATCAAGTCATCGAAGAACCCACTAGAATTACAGATACATCACAAACCTTAATTGATCTAATCTGCTGTGATAAAAACATAGAATATCAGGAAATTGAAATTGTGGATTTACTCAATCTTACTGATCATCATCTCGTGAGATGCAAGTTGAATGTTCCCATTATAAAGAAAAAACCCAAAACAATTTTCTCCAGAGATTTCAATAATATTAATATGGTAGATTTTTGTAGAGATGCATCTATTATTGATTGGAACGCAATTTACCAAATAAATGATATAAATAGCAAGGTTCAGTTCATGAACAGTGCTATTAAATCTCTGTTGGATGTATATGTTCCTCTTAAAACTTTTAAAACTAAGAAACACAGAAACCCATACATGACTTACAACATTATTCAGCTGTGTAAAATTAAAAATACAGCTTACAAAAAGTATTTGCAGGGAAAATCATCAGCTCAATTTGATTACTACAGGCAAATAAGAAACTATTTGACTGGGGCACTAAGAAGAGAGAAAAAAGCATACATCCAGCACCATGTTAATTCCAATTCACATAATTCCAGAAAGTTGTGGAAATCTCTTGATCAACTAAACGTTCAGAAGCGAAACAATAATGTATCTCTGCCAATTTCAACTGATGCTGAGGATTTAAACAAATATTTTATTGAGTCCATACCTAGTCCTGTTATAGATAATTATCTTTTAAATTTTTACTGTGATAATGTAAAGTCTGATTGTACTCAAGTTTTTAAATTAGTAGAGGTAAATGAGACCCAAGTTTTAAAAGCTTTAAATAGCATATCAACCAATGCTGAGGGAAGTGATGGCGTAAATCTAAAAGCCTGGAAACTTTGTATACCATATTGCCTTAGTCCATTAACTTTTTTAATTAATTACTCCTTAACAAATGGAATTGTTCCCAATGAATGGAAAATTGCAAAAATTAGGCCTATTCCCAAAAATTCCAAGCCAGAAGGACCCACTGATCTCAGACCAATCAGCATCCTTCCCATTGCGTCAAAAATATTGGAAAAAATTGTCCACGAACAAACTGTGCAACATGCCAATAAATATATCCTACCCTTAACTCAATCTGGTTTTCGCAAATTACATAGTACTAACACAGCGCTACTAAAAATCACAAATGACTTTGTCAGGGCCATAGATAATTCTGAGATTACTCTATTGGTGCTACTTGACTACAGCAAGGCTTTTGATGTAGTTAATCATAATTTGCTTTTGGCTAAACTGCATTATTACAATTTTGATGCGATGGTGATAAACTGGTTTTGTGATTATCTCAAGAACAGAGTCCATTATGTTGAAATAAATGGTAATGTGTCAACTCGTCGATCATTGTCTAAAGGAGTTCCGCAGGGAAGCATACTGGGTCCCTTACTTTTCTCAATTTTTATTGCTGACTTGTGTGAAGTGGTAAAATATAGTGAAGCACATCAGTATGCAGATGATACACACATCTATAAATCAACTACTCCAGCTGCTATTAACTCTGCAGTCCTACAATTAAATGAAGATCTTCAGCAAATAAGTTTGTGGTCTACCAAAAATGGTCTGCTACTCAACCAAAACAAGACTGTCAGCATTTGCATTGGCTCTAAAAATGCTCGAATGAAAGCTTTAGCGCTTAAAACTTGTGATATTTATGTTAATAACTCTGTGATACAATTTCAAAACTGTGTTAAAAACCTAGGTGTTTTAATAGACTGTGATTTAAGTTTTGAATCCCATGTAAAAAGTATTTTAAGAAATGCCTATTTTAAGTTTAAGTCAATCTACAATTTTAAAACATTTTTGTCGGGTGATGTTAAATGGAAGTTATGTACTAGTCTTATCCTAAGTCCTTGTAATTATTGTAGTAGTGTTTATTTTACATTTGCAACGAAAGCAACTCAGTGTTATATTCAAAAACTCCAAAACTCCTGTCTTCGATATGCATATAACATTGACCATAGGGATCACGTCAGTGAACACTATGTTAGACTTAAGATACTTAAATGTGACCACTTATTTTATAGCCAGTATGTTTTACTTGTTTACTCTATTTTTAAAACAAATGCGCCCTTATACTTGTCTAGTCTTTTAATTTAGAGGAGCCAGTGTCATAATGTTAATGTTCGTAATAAATCTTTATTAAGTGTACCTATTCATAAAACTACTAAATTTTTTTAATTTTTATAAATAATAATAATAACCGAGATACAGGGCGATAAGTGTAGGATGAAAATTTGTAATGTAACAATTCAATCTATCAAACTCAAAACTTCTACAGTATAGTTTTCAAGGACGGGGATTAAAATATTGTTATCACATTTAATTTTACTACGCCAATGACACATGTCGAATTGGTTAAATCAATCAAAATTAAACTAAGTGTTCAAATTTGGAAATTCATATATGTATAATGTATACATTAACTGAATTGCTTCCAAATATTAAAAATTTTCAAGAATAATATCTTACATTTATCTTGTTTATTATTAAAATTGACAATTGTCAATTATTTTACTGTTAGTATTAATTATTTTACTGTTAGTAGCGAAAAAGGGCTGTTTTGTAATTTATCCAGTGCTGACGCAACAGGAAAAATTGGAACGCAGCTCCGTAGCGGCCGAAAGAGACAAAAGCTACGCAAGCGCAATCTCTGCATTTTACTAATCTTACTTTTAGCAGCAGCAGGGAAAATATGGAAAGTACAATTTTATATTATAGTATTTTATAGAATATATATTAAAGTATTTTATATATAACATTACATCTATTATATTTTCTAATTTCTACCAAAGGTAGTTTAATATTCTGGCGCTTTTACTTTCCTTCGTCACTGCTGCTAGTACTTTTGATTAGTATTTTATTAATATTTAATGAAATAGGTAATTTTTATTTGACAATTTTGATGTTTAAAAGTTTGGTAACCAAACTTTGGTTATGTTTTTTACTGGAGCCACAGCACCCCTATGCCACCATTTGTTTCAGTAAAATTATGTCTGCCGTACATTTATAACCCTGTAACTGAAGTAACTGCAAGTGGATTTCGGAATCCGTTTTTAGTACTGACAGTTCTGGCAGTAAATTACGGAACATAATCATAGTGTTTTATGAGTAATTTATTTTTAACAATACTTATATTACAGTTAGATACCTAGTTCAAAAACTATTACTATTTATAAATAGTAATTATAATATATTTATAATATAATATATAATAATATATAATATAT